GCTATATCATAGCCCCACATGAAATTATGTTAATTTCCTTGTGGTAATTAGTTTATTGATGCAATATCCCATTTCATTGCCCAGGCTGATCTTGAACTTTTGGTCCTCCTTGACTACCTCTATAGTGCTGGGAGATCATAGGTATGTGCTACTCTTTTAGCCCACATGTGGCATTTACATTTTTTTTTTTTGAGATACTACTTTTTTAATTTTTTTTTTCTTTTTGGCAGGTGGTGGGGAACAGGGTCTCACTATTCACTACTGGCGGTCCTGAAACTTAATAATAGTTTCAGATTGGTCTCAAACTTAGAGATCTGTCTGCCTCTGCCTCTGGAGTTCTGGGATCAAAGGTGTGTTATCAGGGACCTCTGAGTGCCAGCCTCTGCCCCTTCAGGGTTCAGGCAAGACACTAAACAGAAAGTGTAGAGGGTGGCTGGTTAAAGGGATCTGAGGGTGAATGGATCAGCTCATACACATATTCTTCTCATGTCTCTCTATTCTTCAAAAGATCTCCCTGATCTCACAAAGTTTCCAGGTTATATAGCCACACAGATACAATTAGCTATCTCTGGCAATAGCAAGAATACCAGGCATGCACTTTTCAGGGCACCTTTTGTCTTGCTAGTGTCTCAGAGAGGGTGTGGCAAGAAGTGCCTGGCATATCTGAAAAGAGTAAATAGAGGAAAGGGTTATGTAGTGAAAAATCTGGGGCCTGCCATTTCCAGCCTCTGGGCCAAGCTGTGGCTTTGTTCCCACTGATCCCTGAGTGAGAAGAGTTTCTTTTCTCTGGGGCCTTTTTCGAGAATACAAGGTACCCAGTATATATTCTATAAATCAAGATTATACAGCCAAATGAAAACTCATCCTCCTGACTTCCCACAGATATATGTACCCAGTAGATCAGGAATGTAAATATGAGACCCATACTTGTACAGGCTAGAGAGAGAATGCAGTTAGCACATTTAAAATTACAGGCAGAAGTAACAGATATTCTGGTGTCTATTTCTTGCAAACCTTGCAAGCCAAGTTTCTTCCATCAGAAGTTAACTTTGATGGGTTGACACCTAGAATATTAATTTCTACTTCTGTAATAAACGATAAGGGCTCTCAGCAGCATATACTGCTATGCTTGGCTTTTTAAAGACAAGGTTTTGTTGTGTGTTCCATGCTAGCCTTGAATTCAAACTGATGTCTTACCTAAGGCTCCTGGATGTTGAGATTACAGGTGTGTACCAGCATGCCTGGCTTCTTACTACTTTATAATTTTCTTTTACATTTATGTGTATTTGTATGTATTTTATGGGTATGTCTGTGGGTGTTGAGTATATAGGTCAGAAGATAGTTTGCAGGAGTTGTTTCTTGAACTGTGGGTTTAGGGGATTGAATTCAGGCTGCCAGGTCTGGCAGTAAATGGTTTTACTCGCTGAACCATATAGCTCAGTAGTTCAGCGAGTAAAAGTTAATTTCACAAAATTATCATAAAAGTTAATAAGGTCTTTTTTTTAGTAATTTCCTTGGGGTTGGGGATGTCAAGAACCAGTCCGATAGCCATACCATATTCAGACTTAGACATATCATATTCAAACTTTCCTTAGTAGGCCAAACATCATTTACAACTATTTTGACCAGGCCAGTATAACAAATTACATCTATATGTCCTTTTGCTCAAATTTTTTTTTTTTTTTTTTTTTTCCTAGACAGGGTTTCTTTTTGTAGCCTGGAACCCATTCACTAGACCAGGCTGGCCTTGAACTCTGAAAACAGAGTGCTGGAACTAAAGGCATGTGCCCCTACCACCTGGCTTTGTTTGTTTTGTTTTTCTGATTCAGGTTGTTATTCTGTAGTTGAGGTTGGCTTGGAACTCACTATAGAGCCCAGGCTGGCCTCAGACTTGGGAGTCATCCTCCTGCTTCCTCATATCTGCATCTCAGCTGCTGGGATTACAGTTGTAAGCCACCATGCATACATATCGTTTAAAGGGTTTTTCCCCTTCCCCCACTCCCTGGGAAAACGGAGGCAAGAGGATTGTAAATTCAAGGCCTTCCTGGGCTACATAGTGAGACTTGTGTCTCCAATCCTTGTCTCAAAAAAGACAGAAGACATTTTTGCTGTGGAGGGAGACTTGCTTTCTTTTCCTTTGCAATTCTGGGGTTGAATTCAGGGTCCTGTGCAAACTAGGCTAGCATTGTTCCTTTTACTCAATTTTATGACATACACTTGAAATTGTGTTGACTTCTAGAGAACTATAGCAGTGAAAAATATATTGAAAGGATTAGGGCAACCAGTCTTGTGAGAAATGACTGGACTATGAAAGTGATAGTGGAGATGGATTTGAAACAGATTTTATAGGTGTGTTAGGGCTCAATGATGGATTAAAGCAGACGAGTATAGGAAGAATTAAGAATGATGGGTTTAGGGTGGTTGTGGTGGTGCATGCTCATAGGATTTTCTAAAGGAGGCAGAGGCAAGGGATAACAAGTTCAAGGCCAGTCTGGTCAGTGGTGGTACTCCCTTTTAATCCCAGCATTTGGGAGGTAGAGGCAGTCATTTCTCTGTAAGTATAAGGTCAGCCTGGTCTATAATTTGAGTTCCAGAACATGCAGGTCTGTGAAGGGAGACCTTATGGGGGGAAAAAAAAAGTTAAAGGGAAAAGTAAGTTTTTCATAAAATGAGGTCCTATGGATCAGGTTTAGAAATGCTTGAAAATGCCCCATATTTTGCTCTATGGTCTATTTAGTGGAGTGGACTCTAGAGTATGGGATTGGTGAAATTGGGCATTATTTGGGGGGGGGGATTAGACTTTTACTAAATTCCATGCTCAAATGTTTGTTTACCAACCTAAATATACAAACTATAAATGTTCCGGAAATTACTTTAGAAGTCAAGGTCATAAAGGTATCGGAGTGGTACATGCTTGTAACCCTAGCACAGGAAGTTTGTACAGCCTGTTCTACACGAGAGTCCACCTCAAAAAAAAAAAAAGGGAGAATGTTGACCTGGGCACTGGTGGTACCCAGCACTCAGGAGACAGAGGCAGGTGATCTCTGTGAGTTCAAGGCCAGCCTGGTCTACAGAGCTAGTTCCAGGACAAGCAGCAAAGCAATACAGAGAAACCCTGTCTTGAAAAATAGTCTTAAAACTACATAAGATGTGAGACTTTGATATATTAAGAGTCATTGTAAACAAAACTGGAAGGAAATGTTTGCAGTTATCATGAGAAATTGAGTTAGTACCTTTTTTTCCCTCTTAATGTTTTTTAGTTAATTTGAAAAATTATTAGTTTCATTATGGAATTTGATTGACTTAATACATTTTATATGTAGGATGATGGCTTTCTAAGATGTCTATGTCTTGTTTTGAGACAGGGTCTCACTATATAGCTTTAGCTGGCCTGGGTCTCATAGGTCTGTTTGCCACTGCCTTTGGATTGCTTAGAGTAAATTTGTATACCACACCATCATACCTGGCAAGGTGTCTACATCCTTAATCTATGTAACCTGTGGATGTGTTATTGTACATACAAAGGAGAATTAAGGATGAAAGAGGGAGTAAAGTCATCATTCATCATCAGATTTTTTTTTTTTTTATTGTTTGTTTTCAAGACAGGGTTTCTCTGTGTAGCCCTGGCTGCCTGGGATTTATAAAGATCTGTCTGCCTGTCTCCTGCATGCTGAGGTTAAAGGTGTGTGCCACCATGCCTGGCTCCTTCATTTGAATTTTAAGACAAATGCGAAGCCTGGGCCTATAACTTAAGAGTGCTAAAGCCCTGGATTTGGTAAACCAGGCAATGTCTAGGATTGTTCAGGCAGGTTCACATAGTTACAAGGATCCTTAAAAGTGGGAAAAGATGGGCTAGGGATATAGCTAGGTGGTAAAGCATTTTCCTTGAATGTTCAAGACCCTGCCTGGGTTCAATCCCCAGTTCCCCCTCCCCCCACAAAGGAAGAGAGAAACAAGAGAGGCTAGGAAGATACATAATGTGAGAGACCTGTCTTGCCTTTGATGGCTTTGGAAGTGTAGAAAGGGAGTTAGCTAAGGTTCATAACCATTCCCCAGAAGCTAGAAAAGACAAGGCAGGAAAGAGTTGCATCTCTGTCAGTCCCTCAATTTTAGCTGTGAGATGTGTTGGACTTTGGGCAAATGTATTTTGTCTGAATTATTGTATCCATTCAGCTAGTACCATACCACTAAGAGTGCTTCTGGAAAATGGGTAAAAGCTATATAAATGGGCAATTACTAAACGTGAAAATGGGTTGGGGATTTAGCCAAGAGGTAGGGCACTTGCTGAGCACTGCAAGGCCCTAGATTTAGTCTCTAGTAAAGAAAAACAAAAAGACAAATCACAAATCTCCCACATCTCCAAAATGTTTTGTGACCTTGGGGCAAATAAGCTAATTCAAGGAAGGAGAAGAGCAGGGTTGAGAGAGAAAAGAGCAGAGTTGAGATGTAAAGCTGAGAAGAAATGATTAGAAATACAGAAGCTAAACCTAGTGGCATACACCTGGAGTTCTTGAACTTGGGAAGTTGAGGGAGGAGGATAATAAATTGGAGACCAGTCCAGGCTATACAAGACCCTGTCTCAAAACAACAACAGAATCTATATAGGTCAAGTAAATGAAGAGAAGGACTATGTGAAATATAAACAACAGTTGTTTATATCATTGGTACTTAGGTGAATGGGTGCATTGGTACTTAGGTGAATGGTATGAAGTGTTTGTCTCTCAGAAACAGCACCAGGATGTGTTCCTCTGACCCTGCAGCTTTATCATGATTTCCATAATTGCTACTATTAGGAATAATTTTTCCGATAGTCTTAGGCAATGCGTGTCAAAGGGCTGCTCAAACCCTCAGTTTGAGAACCCCTGCTCTAGAACCTAATCAATATGGGATATGGCTCTAGAAGAATAGGGAACTGGTATCTTTAGTAACCTATACATTAAAGAAGACGTAAATAGGATTTGTCTAATTGAACTACTTTATTAGGATTTCTCTATTTGTCTTTATTTCTGTACCCACACCTGGTTTGGTTCAGGTTGTGAGATACTGGGTGCCAGTACTATCATACTTTTCTGACTGGGTTTAGTTGGCAGGCGTCTACGGACACCTAGAAATTTAGCTAACAACCTTTGAAAACCTCTGTTAGGGGGACGCTGGAGTGTGGAGGATGGGAGCTGCTTCTCCTTGGGGGCCCAAGCACAGTGCTTACAATAGTGAGGCTTCTGTGTATCACCAGCTACCCAGCCTGCCCTTTGTTGATCCTGGGGACCAACAGCATTTGAGAGAAACTGCTGAGCAAGAACAGCGTGTGGATAACGCTGAGCTCTATCCTGAGACTTTTTAGGAAATCTGTGTATAGGGATCTCTGTTGGTCTACTTGCCTGGGCGGGGTTATTTTTCCCTGTGGCAGTGGATGATCCCAGTCTTTTAGTCCTTCCTTCACATTTCTCTGCTTTGGATTTTCTGGGACTCCCTTTCTTTTGGGCTGAAGGTAGTGCTAAAGTCTTGTCTCGACGTCTCTTGCTAGAGACCAGAGCCCCTGTATTTGAGGGCTTTCCCATTCCTAAGCAGTTTTCATTAGCCTTTGCATGAACATTCCCTGGGGATAGTGTCTGGACTACTACCTTCCCTTTAATCCCCTTGTTTTTTTGAGACTTTTGTTCTGCTTTGCTAGAAGGGTGAGGGTGGTGAGGGGTCTGGACAAACTGAGGTTCTGTCCTTTGAACTTTTGAGGGATCACCACTTGGAGAGCAGGAGTGCATGCTGAGAAGATGAGTCTGATGTGGGAAACAAGAGAGTCCCCAAGATTCTGCAGTTGGGGAGTTAAGGGCTGGGGGGCTGCAAAGTGAGTGTTGTGGGCCCGGGATTTGAAAGTGGGGCTCTGCTTTAGTTTCTTTAGTCTGATCTTTAATTCTCTACTCCATTGCCAGGCATGGCTCACAGGGTGGTCACACACCCCTGAGACGGTTCCACCCTGGGAAGATGGAGCCTTTGCCTTGGCTTCTGAGAGCATCTCTTCCTTCTGTAGACCACACTGGTTAGGTTCAGACTTCAGGGCTTTAGCTAGAATGGGAGGCCAGGATGGTAGTTGCAGAGGATTCATTACCAGAGGACCGGGGGTCTGGGAGGCCTCTGTTTTTTGTACATTTCTACATATAAATTCAATGTCAGGGTGTGGCTCTTGTGATGGAGCAGAGAGAAAGCTGGAGGCTGGTAGCTTAGTGGCCCAGGAGTCCTTTCTCTGCTCTGACGCTGACTCCATAGGCTTACAGTTGCACGGGTTTCCATTAGGCTCACTTATGTGAGACTTTGAAATAGAGTTTGGAGGTGAGCTGGATTCCCAAACTGAGGATACAAAAACACAACAGTTTTCATTCTGCTTCATGTACCCTCCAGCTGGGTTAGAGAGGACTCCCGAGGAGCTGGCTCCAAATAGATGTTGGGATAAGTTTTGCACGGGACGCTCAGAGGCCAAGAAGTTATTTTTTCTTTGAATGTTCTCACACCAAACTTTAGATGTAAATGGGTTCTCCATGGGGCTAACTCTGAGGGGTGGCTGTACAAGAGCTGGGGATGGGTTGAGGTTCAGAAATGGAGACTCAGAAGACAAACATTTTCTTGTATGCTCAGTATCCTTCCATGTAGCTTCTGATCTAGGGGAAGTCATCCACAGTATTGATTCTGTGTGGTTCTAAAAAGGGGGCTATAGGTGGTACATGGTCAGGACATGGGGAATCACACACCCATAGCTTCTTTCTCTGCCCCTTGGTCTCCCATAAAGCTTTAGACTCTAAAAAGACTCTTTGGGGGCCCAACATTGCAAAGTCTGGCAGACAGACAGAGGGAAGGCTAGGAGCTGAAACTAGGTCTGCATAGACACGAAGATTTTCTGTGCTAGGTTTACCTTTCAATGGAGTCTCAGATCCCAATGGGACACATGCAGGAATGGTTTCATAGAACCACATGTTGAAGTCCAAGGTTGGAGTTTCAAAAGGCTCGTGTCCAGACAGGTCCTTTAGGGGTTCTCTCTCTGGTGTTCTGACAGGGTATCTAGAAGAGGGCAGGGGGCTGACACTGGAGACTTAGAAATAGGCGGTTTCTCTTTATGTCCCATGTTTCCCAGAAGTCCTTCAGTGCAGAAAGTCCTCCTTTGGGGTTAACATTTCTTACTTCTGACAGAGAACCTGGTGGTTGACAGGAGGCTGGCATTGGGGGATCAAAAGCTTGGGGGTTATCTTTTATGTTGTATGATTCTCCACTGAATTTCATATCCAGGGGAGTTCCTGGAGGGTCAGTTTCTTGAGGTTCTGTCATGGGAACTGTGAATTGGCAAGGGTTCGAGATTGGAAGTGCATAGATCTGAGGGTTCTCATTTTGCACTGTGGTTTCCCAGAGAGCTTTCAATCCAGACAGTTCTCTCATAAGGTTGGCTTTCTGGTATTCTGTCAGGGAAGCTGGGTGTGGGCTTGCAGTTGGCATTGCAGATTCAGAGGCTTTTGGGTGCTTGTGTTGTTTCATGGTTGTCTGTAGGACCTCAGACCTAGTTAGGACTTCATGAGGATTGGAAGTATACAGTAGAGAGGCAGAAGGTGAGTCTGGATTGTGTTGCTGGAGGCTGGGGTCCCCTGGCGTCTCCCTCCAGGCCTCAGATGAATACAAGAATGTGGAAGGTCTGATTTTTTGGAGCTCAGGCTGTGAGTGTAGGGCTTGATTCTCAGAGACACAAGGAACCTCTTTCTGCTGTGTAAAGCACTGTGTGTGTGTGTCGGTGTCAGATATGATTCCCTTACAATCTATAAGCAAAGGCTTAAGATTGGAGGGTACTAATGGGATAAGAGGGGAAGGTGGAGATTGAACTAGTTGAGAACCAGGTACTATTCCTTCTAGATTTCTCATAGTATGGGCTTTAGGAGTAGGATAGTAGGTTGGAAAGTGATAATAGGGAAGCAACAAGTTGTACACAGGCAGGAAGGGAACCTTGTTGAAGAAGACAGAAGGACAAATAGACAACTTTAGTGGAGAAGGGCCTTCTGAGCTCAGGAAAATAGTCTCCAAGGACTCACTGTGTAGCGATGGAAGACCCCAGAAGAGCTGGCTTTTTCTCTGCTGCAGGGAACTCCCTGAAGTTATCTTGTTCCTCACTGGTAGGTTGGTCAGGATCTGGAAGGTAGGGAAGGATCTGGAAGGGCTTGAGGGTTGTGTGAATACTTGTTCTTGTATCCCTGTGGCCTTGGGGAGGCCCCCAGAACTACAGGATGGCTGGTGTGGGTCTGCAGTGAATTGATTTCCAGTGGAAGCATCTTTGGAAGGAGAATATGGTTTTAGTGGGCTCAGAGATAATGATTCCTCTTCCTTCTCTTCCCCATATTCTTCTTCCTCCTCTGACTCTTGCTTGCACAGAGAATCAAGGAAGGCAAAATGGTGCAGAAGTTGTAGTCCCTAGGGAATAAGCATAATACTATTAGGTATGATGGCTTCTTAGAGATGTGTGATGTGTCATACATTCATTAGTTTCTGTTCTACATTGCAGGTTCACCTGCCCCACAGCTCTGATGAGTGGTCACTAACCTGCTCTTCATGCATTGTTTATGTCAAAACCCAGTTCTTATTTAGAGATCACCATTTCCGAATGTACCCTAGGGTCAGTGATTAGTCACTTGCTTTCAAATCATGTCACTGAGCACTCACCCAGTCAGTAATCTGTGCCGTAAAAATCACTTATCAGGGACCACATCCATAAATAACAATGGCCCTTCATTTGACCTACATGTCATTTCAATAGTTGTCTGGATCCACATCCAAGTCATTGGTCACCTACCTTGCCTTGTATCATCATGTCTCCAGAGCACCAGAGCTGAAGCTGTTGCCATTTCCCAATTTGCCACCATCTTTGGATCTGCCAAACCATGAACAAGAATAATATCACCAGATTCCCTGGACTTTGGAGGCAGATGCTGCTGCTGCAATGTCTGCAGGCCAGAACATGTGTTAGCTGACCTTGGAGAAGCCCAATATCTCCCTTAGCTCTAAGCAGGTCTTCTAGCAGCCATTCCATTTTCTTCAGCTTAGTGGCAGTTTCTTGAGGTCATCACTACATCATAGAACACAGAACCCCCAACCCCCACATGGATCCTAGAGCCTTCTCCTGGAGCTTAGGGCCAAAATGTTACCTCTATTAGACAACGCATCTTATGCAGTGAAATCTCAGTGCTGCCCTCATCTCGATTGTCAGAGTCAGAGCTATGCATGCTTTTGGGCATACATTTTAACGTTGAACTATGCCATCCAAACTCTAGTTTTCATTTCCTGTCTATGAAATCTCAGTCAAACAACTTAATACCTCAGGGGTTTTATTTGTTCTCTTTTTGCTTATTTATTTGTTTGTTTATTTTTGTTTTGAGACAGGGTCTCTCTTCATAGCCCTAACTATCCTGGAATTCACTAGGTAGACCAGGCTGGCCTCAAACTCAGAGATCCACCTACTTCTTCCCACCAAGTGCTGAGAGACAGAGTCTCTTTTAATAGTCCTGACTGTCCTGGAACTCACTTTGTAGACCAAACTGGCTTTAAACTCATCGAGATCTGCCTACCTCTGCTTTCTGAATGCTGGGATTAAAGGTGTGTTTCACTACACCAGGCCTGTTACCTCAGGTTTAGGTTAAATAAATATATGTATTTAGAACAATAACTGGTATATAGTTTGCTACATATATATTTATGTGTGTGTGTATATATATATATATGTATGTATGTATGTATGTAAATATATATATGTATATATTGTATTTTGAGACATGGTGACCCTGGAACTTATTTTGTAGATCAGGCTGGTCTCAAACTCACAGTGATCTGCCTGCCTCTGCCTCCCGAGTGCTGGGATCAAAGGTGTGCACTACCACTTCTGTGTGTTTTTACTCCTAGTACACAATTGGTTTTCTTATGGCATTTTCATAATACTTAGTTTTGGTTGTTTTTCACCCCAACCCCTTCCTCTTTGCCGTCTCCTTGTACTCCTGCACTTTTGTTCCATATATCCTTTTCCACTTTCATATTACATGTTCTGTTACCTTTCTACTGTTCTTTGTTGAAGTCTCTCTTTCCTCCTCATTGGCCCCTTTCTAGTTTCCTGATCTTCTACACTCACCCTTACACCCTTACATAAATATACATCTAAGAAAGTTAGAAGCTAGGATCTGCATGCAAGAGAACATGTGATATTTGCCATTCTGAGCCCGAGTCTTAGTTATGATTTTTTTTTTTTTTTTTTTTTTTTTTTTTTGGTTTGGTTGGTTGGTTTCTGAGGCAGGGTTTCTCTCTGTATCCCTGGCTGACCTGAAATTCACTCTGTAGACCAGGCTGGCCTCAAACTCACAGAGACCCACCTGCCTCTGCCTCCCAAGTGCTGAGACTAAAGATATGCACCACTACTGCCCAGCTCAACAATCACTTCTTTATTCAAGGCAAGCTAAAGCATTTCTGATGCCATTTTCAGGATCTGTGCTATTAAACTTATCAACAAACATGCCGAGAAAAATCAATGGGGCTATAGTTTCATTAATTACAGTACAGTATCCAGGTATTTACCAGCTGAGTTTTTCTCCAGTGAGGCCAGAATATCATGTGAATCTTCTCTGTCTATGGAACCATCTGTTTTGGTTATGTTGAAGGCCATTTTGAATTCTGTTCACATATGGCATACATATTGGGTATTGCCCTCTGAAAGGCTTCTTGGTGATCTTGGTCTTGGCCCTTTTGATCGATATAGTAGAGTCACTATACCTTGGTTAAACACTTGCTGTTATGATCTCTGTCATTACTAGTCCTTCAGCATTAGTGCAAAGGAAAGAACACACACTAAATAGGCATTTATCACTAACAGTCTATTTGTTCTGCTCAGAGCTCTCAAGAGTTAACCAAATTCCAAGTCTTTTTTTTGTTGCTAGAGCTCATTTCTGTCAGCAGAACACTTCACAATGAGGAAACTAAAGGAAGAAAGAAGCATCTGGAATACCAGTTTTCTGGTTCCTCTTAGCTCTAAAAATGGAAAAACTGTATTGCTGACATATGCCCACCAGGTGGCAGTGTGACACAGTAGACCAAAATGTCTCAGACCAGTTTTCTGAGTCTTGATTTTGAACAAATTATTTAGCTTCCCTGAGGCTTGTATTCCTCCTTGAGATACTCTTGGCCTGTGTCTCTCACAGCATGCTGATAATGGACAAGAAAGCACTTTACAATAAAGTGTTATTGTGTGATCGAGCTCATTAGTTGTCATTGGCCACTCAAGTACCCACCCCAGAGCCTCCCAAGAAAGACTGTTATAGTCAGCTTCTATAATTAATTTTGGTATATGTGACCAAGACTTAGAGAGCTTACCAGAAAATAGCTCATGAGACTCAGGACTTGCTTGTTCTTGAGGTGACTGGGGCTGGAGATGGAGGGTAGGATTCACTAATCTCTTCTGTGCCTTTTTTCCTAGTGTGACCCCTGCCAGTCTAGAGCCCTAGTGCAGGTTGGATTGAAATCAGGCGTGGAAGGCAAGTAACCAGAGAATTTCTGAAAGAAATTTCTGGCACAAAGAATAATAAGGTCGTACATTAGTGATACATACAATAAGATGTGATTGACTCCTCAGGCTTGGAAGGCCTTCCTGTCCCTGTTTTGCCCCTGTCTGTAGCAGGCACTTCTGGTCTTTTTAGTCATATGGAGAAGATTGCTGGTGAAGGCAGCTTGTAGCAAGTTCTCTGCTTGGAGGGCTCTGATGAAGCAAGGGTAGAAACTGACCCTCTGCTTGGGGAGGTTAGGTAAGATGCTACTCCTGCAGTGTCCCTGGCCCACAGTTCTGTGCTCCTGTAGTGTCCCTGGCCCACAGTTCCTCTGCCTGAATCTTCCTGACTTTGGCCTCATCCTTCCACCAGACCCTCTTGAAAACCAATCGACAGTTTCCTTGGGTGATCCTGCTTAACAGTAGCCTATTTATGAACCTGTCAATTATGCACAGTGGATACCACATAGATGCACTAGCTATAGAGATGGGGGATCCTCCAGAGACTCAGCTTCCCATGCCATACTCTACCTCAGCCTTGTAATTTTGCCCAACTTGTTGGCTTCCTCCCCATTCACTGTAAAAACAGTAACCTCTGCCTCTGTTACAAGGCTACTTTGCCTTTGCCCAGGTATTGTCACTAACTTTTCCTCATCTACCTTTGAAATTAATGATATCTAATTACATTTATTTATTTTTTTTGTATGTGTGTGGGTACAAATGGCATGGCACATGTGTAGAGGTAAGAGGACAATTTGCAGGAGGTTGATCCTCTCTTTCCACCACAAGGACCCCAGGTATTGAATTCAGGTTGTTAGTTTTGGCAGCCAGCACCCACTGAGCCTTCTGGCTTGTCCCTTCCTTTTAGAGCTCTTCTAGAGACCTAGTGGGCCTGTCTTGTTCTGCAGTTAACCTTTGATTTCACTTCAGCTGCTCCAACAGGGTCTCTGTTACTAGGCATTTTTTCCCCCAAACTTGTATTAGTTTTCTTTAGTGCTGATTCTGCTTTCCATTTGATAAGTAGTCTAGCCACACTATGCCATAGCTGTAGTGCTCTGGGTGCCTTGGAATTGAACTCAGAAAAACACATCTTTAAGCAGTTATTTTCCAGCAA